ATACGAGTAGACTCCAATGAGAGTTTTTGCAAGACGGGAAATACAATGTCGTAATTGTGATCATTGTCGACAATAGGAAATAATATATCTTCAGAAACATGAGTTTTTGCCAGTCGTAGAATCGAAAACATACGTAAAACTAGGAAGGATTAGGAACGGAGGAGCTCTAACAGTACCTAGTCGCATTTGTTGAACATCGCTGTATCATCTGACTATTTTTGCTTTTGTAAGGAGTACAAGATAGAAATAAGTATAACATATGACAACTGATTGTATCAAACGAATATGTAATATAGTGTCTTTATCTCCAATTATTAGTACAGCTTCCTAGATAGCCTTAAAATGTAACCTCCAATTTTACTATATCGCATTTATATTGTTTGTATTAGAAATGAGAAATGTCCAGCAATTATATCGCCTTGTAGGTAAATTAACTAATTTTTCGTAACATTCAATGCAGCCTTAATATACACATAACCCCCAAAACCCCCATAACTCCCAAAACCCCCATAACCCCCAAAACATATATATATATATATATATATATATATATATATATATATATATATATATATATATATATATATATATATATATATTACTATCGAATTCGTGGTAAGTGGTGGAGGTGAAAATTACGTGAAGTGTAAACTAGGAACTATATTTGTCGTAGACGACAAAACAGGGAGAATGACGGGACCCGTCAATCGAAATCTAACTGGATGACGGCGCATGCGCAGTAGAATTATCGTGTTACGTCTTCAAATTCGCCACTTACAAAAATCTCTTAACTTAACACAACACAATGCTTTTTAATGAATTACTTGTAAATAAATACCTTCTTAACTATCAATGAAAACGTTCAATAAAATACAAAGAATTGATGAAAAATAAATGAATTCGCGAATGTTTGGTTAGAAATTGAAAATCTTGAATTTACTCATATTTTCATACAGTTATCTAAGTAATATGTAATAATTTATTAAAATTGTAATATTTGCCACCTGAAGAGTGTAATTTCCAATCGTTTGCACAAAATTTCCTAGTCTGATTTGCTTTAAACCTGCTTCAACTCTTCGAGAAACATACAACGTACAAACTTACGAGTAATATACGTAGTATAGAGACATTTACGTAGTGCTTTGAAAATTTGATTTTTAAGATTTCAATGGTTATACACGTTTTGGGATTCCTTGAAACCAAAAATAGGTCCATGTGTTTCATTGTCTCTCTGTAAACAACAATCGCACTTAAATTATTCATACGATTTTCTCCAAACTGAATACCCGGTCAGTCTGGCTCGACCCAAAGGACTGTTCTTTTGAAAAACATTCTTTAAATTTTGGGGCTACTTTACATGAAGCCCCTGACACATTCTCAAAATCTTCTAAATAAAGGATCAAATTTTTTCCTTCAATTTCTTGAAAGAATAGAATGAAAGGTAGATATAAACTTCGGCAACACTTATAAAGGTGGAATAGGCCCAATTTTCACTGTTAAATTCTGACATTTCGGAAGTTGCGAAAGTCTGATTTTTTCGGTCCCTTCCTATAACTACAATAATAAACATAGAGATTATTTCTCTAAATAGAATTTGTTTTCCATAATTAGTTTTTTCATTAATGTCAAATACATTTTTTGAAAATTAGTAATAGCAGTTTTGCGTAATTTTGAGTGAAATTTAAGCAGTAATATAAAAATAAAAACAATAATATTTCAAGCTGCTCCACATATTTCTTTAAACTTTTGATAGAGATAATGCTAAATGTACTCTACAAGATGGAAAACGCAATTTTTCTGTTTTCTTTGTTTTTTTTTTAATTACACAAATGTGTTTTTTTTTCTCTCACCTCGTTAAATTTACGTTATGATGGCGATTTATATACATGTTTATGTGCTTTAAATGTTGTTTGTAAAGTTACTCGGAAGCACTTTACTTTTCTATAAAAATGAGCTCAAAATTTCTGCATTTTCAGAAATGCTAAAACACAATTTTCTCAGAAACAATGTGAATTACATCAAACATTGGCAAATGATAAATGTGAACCATTCCCTGTGAGCAGCTCAAGCTGCCAGATGTCTGAAAACCTGAGTGAAGAGCAAGCAGTACATGTCCATGACAGATACTGTTCTTTCACTCAACAAATGGAAAAAGATGCCTGATTTAAAGTTAAATGACCTCAAATTGAACTAAATCTCAATCTCAATCTAAACTTCAATCTCAACATATAGTTCCATGCCTCCTGCACCAATTTCTTAAAAACGCAAACAAAAATGACAATTTTTGTACTAGAACTGCTTTTTTTCTTATCCATTCAGTTCTTTTTGTAGACAGAGAATTTACTGACTTACACAAACCAAAAGACTTAAGTAGTAAAGTGATCAACAACAGAAATTCTGTTTGGTTTTCTTCTTCCTTTTTTTCTATGTCAGCTTAAACATTTTCGTAAACAGTTATACAGAATCCATTATTCATTACACCTCTGAGTGTGTTTCTTCAATAAGTACTCAAAACTTAAAAATGAAAAATATTTGTTCATAACTTGATCATTCCTAGTTATAAAGAATGGAAGGATGCAATTTTGGAAGTAGAGCCTACACTTTATCTACCTATACTACTTATACTGGTTTCTGCATGTTGTATTCTCTCCGCAGTTTTGATTTTCATTCAGTATTCCAACAATTCTGATCCTCTACTTGCTTCTGAACAGTTATTATAGCTTCACTCCTTTTGGACACCAGATGCAATCTATCTTTCTTGTTAACATTATAAACTACTAAATTATTTTTATTATTTATTTGTTTAGTTGAAACTGGTGTGAATGCTTGTACTTTTAAAAAAAGTGAAAAGTAAACCAGAATTGAATGACCAGTTGAGAAAATTTAAATGATATAATCACTTTATTTTATTATTGCATCTTTTAAAAAAGGGTATTATGTAATCTGATAAAGTATTTTCAAATTATATTATTTCAATATACAATATTATATTGTTAATTTTGCATATAATATTTAATTTGTATTTGGTATCCATTCATTAATCAGTTTAACATAGGAGTCAAAATCCCTCATTTTCACATTTAGAGAAATTTGTTGAATTTTCTTTGAAATAATTGAGTTTCATGTTCATGTCAGTGGTGAAGTATGACAGTTTTGCGTGGTCATCACTAGACCTGCCCAGTGCCCTTTGAAGCAATGCACACTAGTTCCAACTGCCTGGACAAAATATGTAGGTTTGGCTTGATTTGTTTTAAAAATTGTTTATGCAAAGGCTCCAGAGGTTGCAGATAAATAATTTGAAATTACAACACTTTTAAAAACAATTTTCAAGCAAATGAAGACAGACCTTCATATTTTTGCCGGGTTTTTGGCTGTCGAGATCAGTGTACATTGCTTCAGAAAGACACTGCGCAGGTCTAGAAATGACCACACAAAACTGTCACACCTTACCTCTGATGATTAATTGGTTCATACTTCCAGATGTGTCAACTCTTAAGATCAAATGTCCCATATGTGTAGTGTGTGTTTTTATTATTATGGGAAGTTATTAGTGTTATGGGAAGTGGCAGTCTTCTCCCACTGGATGGCAAAATCCGGTGCCAACCTTCATGTTGGCTTGCGATGTTTTCCTCAACCAGGTATCTTCTACCAGTAGAGATCGAAGCTCCCAACTGATCTGACTTGTGTGTTAGTGTAGTGCATGCAAGTGTGTATGAAAGTAGGAGTGTAGGGATAAGACAAAGAAAAGTAAGGAAAGATTGCGTGCGGCCCTTGACCTGTTTGTTTGGGGACTGCTCTGGCATTTGCCCAGTGTTAATCACAGAAACCATGAAAAATCATGAGAAATTGATCAGAGCAGTTGACCACTAGAATTCTCGATACAAAAGCTGAATTCGATCTAGCTATATGCTACAGTCGAACTCTAGGACCTCCTAATTACAGACCCTGCAGTGACATCAGTTGATGCCCTGAACTACCTAAGCAGGTGCCTCGATGATGATGTGATGATGATGATGATGATAAATCAATTTCATTAACCACTCTAATGAGATTGATATTAACTATCAATTGTTAAATATGGAACTAAACGGATCCTGTTACGTGGTAGATCTAACCAATTTGCAATTGAATCAGTGTCTTTTACAAAATTTTGCTATTTTTAATAGAAAATATAATTATTTATTAATGGACTGCAAAGAATTCATTTAAACTGCCCTGCTTGTGTGTTCTTCAAAATTTCCAGCCTTTCTAATCTGAATGTCATCTGATACATACAGTTCTTTTACCTTCTGTTCCAGTAGATAAACATTTGTCAGTTAAAATAATAATTCATAGTTCTGAGTGGCTAGCAATGCAAGATCTTGAAAATACTCAATTTAATTCACAAGTCTCAAACATGTTGCTCATAAATTATTATATTTCCTTTTTTGTCTTGTTTTTTTTTTGAAAAGTGGATTTCATTCACTTTTCAATTATTATTTATTATTTTTTTATTTGTTTGGGAACAACGTTAGTTAATTTATTTTTGCAGTATCTTCTAATATTTAATAAAATATTTATTTAACATTTCCTGGAGTCTGCAAGTCAACTATAATTTATTTTTAAAATTTTATATTCTTTTGATTTGATAAGCTGTTGTATGTTGTTGTTTTTTCTTAAAAAATAAATCAATAAAAAATAATGTAAACTGTAATTTGGGTTTAAAAAATCTTGAATTGTCAAGGGCAGTATACTTTTTGAGGAAATATTGGGAATTCTTTTGAAAATCTTAACTACAACTTTTATGTAGTACTTCTTCCAGTTCCTCATGAAGTCACTCAAAAACTTGTTTAGTAGGTTTGAAACAAATTTGGGTACCACATCAAGATTGCTTTTCTAAGATTCACCAGTATCAAAGGCATAATCTTAAATATTTGTTCAATATATTAAAACTTATTTAAAAAATGTTCATTAAAAATTATTAGTTGCTCCATTATTATTAACGTGAACAGCCATGAAGTATACATGCTTAATTATAGTACAATAGGCTTTATTGTTTAACTTTTTTGCTACATATATTTGTGTACACATTGGATATATATATATAAATTACACTAGATATAAAATAATTTCTCACATTTGAAATAAAAAATAACTATTACACACATTTTGACTTAAATATTACAGTAGAAGTATGTACGAAATACTTCAAAATTAATGTACAACTTTCAAGATGAAAGTACTGTAACTGGATTTGAAGTATACTAAAAGGCACTGTTAGTCAATATTTTAAGTATTCAGATAATAGATCAATTCATTTTATTATTATTCATTCCTTAACTGCATAAAGTGCACAAAGTGAATGCATACATGGGAGATCAGAACTAGATGTAGATGTTTCAATTCTAAACATTATGTTTACCTTATTCGGTCTTAATGGATTGCATAAACAGACCCATAGATCAATTGTGCGACATATTTTATATTGAATTCACACCTTTTCCTGACAGATTGACACTGCCAGTACAAAAATAAGTTATTCAGATGATAGTAAAATTGAAAAAAAATTGAAATAGAAGTAAGAGAAATCTGGGAATTACACTGAAGCTACTATATTTATTATGTCTCTTTACAAATAAATATGTTTAAGTTGCATAATAATTTAAAGTAAAGTATATTGCTATAAAAAGAATGTCTTTTTTATTTATAAAACTTTAAAAATGGAGACAAAACTTTATTGAAACAGGAAGGATTTCTGAGTTGGGAACAGCAGCCTGTCCTGTGTTCCATGTACTTGAAGTGCATTCAGTAAAAAAAACTTTCCTGGTAATCATCTAACAATACGTATGTTACTTGAAGGATTCAATGCAAATATTTTCAATGAAAATAGCTTTGAAGTACACATGCAAAAATGAAATTGATATAAGAATTTTATTTAAAAATTTTCCTGGCAAGTTCTGCTACAGTGTTTACCATTATCAAATTAATCTCATAGTGATCATCATTGATAATTCATTAATCATTCTTGTAACTGTCAGATGTTTATAATTTATTAATATTCTTAAAAATGAACAAGTGACATGTTACAAAGAATGCACATTATCAATTGAAGTAACCTTGATCCTGAAAAATCAAGGAAGACTAATATACTTTTTTAATAATGGAAATGTTCAAAACTACTAACAGTAAAAAATCACACCACCATGCTATGTTTCTTTGTTTCACAATACCTAATTTCACTTCATAAAATATCATATTCATACAAATTGAACATATCAAATTAGGAATTAATTTAATATTTTGTTGTGCTGTATAGTATATGAGGTAATAATAATAATAATATTATACTATAACATCCGAATGAAGATTTATTCAAGACTGAAATAAAAGTACTATTTGCTGTTGAGTTGAAATTTTGCTAGATATTTAAACTTTCTTGTGTTTGAAATGAATTCAAAACTACTTTTGATAAATTCTCCCATGATGCTTATGTTCTTCTTTAGTCAATAGAAACAGACACTTTAATTTAAAATATTATACATACATACATTTCATTACAATGGTATGACTCATTTTATGTAAGTGAATATAATATTCCAAGACAAACAACCATACAAGCATTTTCTTTGCAAACATATAATTACTTTGGAACAACACATGGGAAAGAAATTGCTGCCTATTATCACTTTTCACTTGTCATTTGCAAGAATCTGGCAGTTAATAACATTATTTTCTCGGAGAGCATGTTGTAAGATATACTGAATCTTGATGAACTGTAACAAATCATTCAGTTTCTTCTATGCATGTACTTGTTTGGTCATAAAAGTACATTCATCATTTACATTGAACTAGGTTAAACAAGTACAATAGATTTAAACAATAATATTGAAAAATTTCCATTTCGCAGTACCATACTCTTATGAAAATTGAATAACTGCAAAACTTTGTGGTATAGATACCATAAAATTATGATTATTATACAAAATTCTCATACTAGTTGAGAAATATCAGTAATAAACTAGTATATTTGTCATATTATAGTATTTTGTACCATGAAATGTTAACGGATTTAATTATTGACATTACTACTTATGCACACATGAATTCTCTCATTAGCTATTGCTTCAAGAGTGTTTTATATCAGTTTGCAGTGTGGTAAACTGCTGCATGTGGCTGTATTTGAATAAAGATATCAACAGGAAATTATGTGAGTAAATTTCTTAGATATTATATGTACATAGCATTTATAACAAAATTAAAATAATTATGTACATTGAGCAATAATGCTTATAAATTTCTAAGAATAATGAAATACTTCCACATAAGTTACGGGTTTTACAATAATATAGAATTAAGTTTGCGTCATTCCTTACATTGTACAAAATTATTGTCTTGAATACAATCTACATCAATTTGGAGGAACAAAGAGGATATAATAGTACAAGTATAGCAATTCCAGCTGAACTAACTGTACAGTAGTGATGATAAATACTTTTTTGTTATTTGTTCAAATACAGCCCTTTACTCATTACATACAGTAATAAATACACCATATTGTATGAACACCCAACATCAAGGCAATGAATAATTTTTGCAGTGTTGAATTTGTGTAGTTACTTTCAATTAATTATGTTAATTAGGAAAAGGGTATGTTTTTTAATCTCGTTATAGGTCACATTTCATAATATATTCAGGGTTTACATTTCTTGGTTTAAAGTAATTTGGATTAATCCTGAATTTTTAATTTACTGGTGTTACTTCTTTCTTCGGAATAATACTGTTTCTTTGGAAGCAGTGAGGTAGATTTTGGATTTTATTCTTTTTTGCTCTTGCCTTGCAGTGGGTTTATATAAATAGTATCAAGAGAATTTCTTTCTGAAATATCTAATATAATATCCAGTTCATGTTACATGAGTACTATTCTTGTAGACAGTGACAGTAACTAGTCGGAAACTTCAACTTTTGTGGGAATCACAAAAGCTTGAAAGTATTTTATGTTAGTAATAATGATAACTGAACTAAAGAACATGCAAGTTTTCACAGTTCTTGAACTTTGAATCTTCTTTACCAAAAAGCCATGTGAACATCTGCCGAGCTTTCATACTGGCTCTTACTACTCCACGACTCTTGTACCAGTGCGCTGTGCTCTCTCGTTCTGATAGTACTGCATGAAATTGCTTCAGGCGAATCTGATTAAGTATTCCCACAAGCAATTCGTCCACATTGTGGCTAATGCCAACAGATATTTCTATAAACTTTGCTCGATATGTACATGCCAGACATTTGCCATCTGCAACATAATAGTTAAAACATTCCTTTAATAATTTGCATTAGTACATCACCAATAGACACAAAGGATTTGAAGAAAATATAGTTTGTAATTTAATTGTAGTTAAATAAATTAAACTACAATACTCGAACAAACATGCTTGACCTGCGACTATAAAATAAAATATAAATATAAATATAAGATATAAAAATATAAAATATATATCTTTCATAAAATAAAAGTGTGTTTGAGTACTGTTGTCCTAAATGAATCACAGAGATGTTGAATAACTGTCCAAACAAGAAGTTTTCGAGAAATTGATCTATTTGTTTATTCAATTATGTTTGTGAAAATAAATCTATTTAAGTTTCATAATGCATTTGCACTAATAAAATTATCTATTTATATAGATATCTAGTTATTTCTCACGTATACCTTGCGATGATATTGATCGGCTGCGCACTAAATCAACTTTATTGCCAACTAATATAGCTGGTCTTGTTCGTAAAAGTCCCCAGTCTTGCAATCTTGTAAGTTCTCCTTCGGCACGTTGGAAGCTTGCTTTGTCAATCACAGAATACAGCACTACAAAAGCATCTGGAGGATCCATTTTGTCCAACTCAGCCTGAATATTGTAAAGAAAATAAAGTATCATGAATAATGTATAATAAATAACCAAAACAAAAACATAATGCTCCATATAAGTCTATATTTCTATTTATTTAAAATTAAAATGTAGAAAAAGAAATGAAAAATGAAGTCAAAGAGAAAGTTTATTTGTATTACTAGTATTATTTCTTCTCGGCTTTCCAAAATAATTTACTTTACAATGATGTGACTTTTGATGAACTTGTCATTTTGTTTATTTAGTTGATGAGAGACTCACTATTTTTAGAGTACAACTAATATTGCTATAACAGCTTATACCTTCTCGCATTTAGTAATAGTTATGTAATACTTTTTACACTATTTAAAAAAATATATAACAATGAACTAATGTTTAATCCTGTGGAATTTTGACATTTATGTGAATGGTACAGGTCTCATTTTCATTGAACTCCTGATTTTTCGAAAGTTGCAAAAATTCAAAACTTATCATCGACATACAAGATTGTTCTACATCGTAATTTCTATCCAACAAAATTTATATTTTTATTATATCCATCAAATTTCAGCTTTGCTGAAATCTGGTTAATATCAAAGGTTAGATTTTCTAGGAGGGAGGATCTTTCCATTCTTCCCAGTGCACCGAGAAAAATGTAAGAACTCTGTAAGAAGTTGTCGCTCACTTTGAATGAAGAGCGTTATGCGTATGGTGTTGCCGGCATCCTCATTTTCGTGCCGATTCGCTGAAAAAACGCTTGAACGTCTACCTTCGGGCTAACTAGTACTTGTTATTTTGCAGAGAAGTTATTACGATTACAATTACTCAATTTTTAAGAATTAAATGTAGGAAGCACATTGTTCTCAAAATACCGTAAACATATAATAATTTTGTATCATATATTTTTTATTGCAGCAATATATTGTCAATTTCAGTAATTAGTAATTGATAGTCATACAGACTTCCGAACTATTGTAATGTATAACTATTGTAATGTATTGTTACCATATGTATAAACTTTTCAAATATATGAAAAAAGATATGACCAACACAAAGAAATGGAATTTCGTTTTTAAAACGACTATTTTCCAAACAAATCATCAGACAATAAACCTCTATTTGGCGAATGTATAAAACCTGCAAAGGAAAACATTGAACTGGTGTGTCAATATATTTGAAATGCTTATTTCAAATACAAGTATTTAAATATTGTCCAACACTGCTCATTACAAATATACAGCATTTGGTGAAAAAACTAAATATTTTCTAGCAAATATCAACACAAATTTGACAATTATAACTGCTTTTCATACAGGTAAATCATTTCCCAACAATAAGACGTCATTGTTGAGCTCCCGAGTCATTGTAGCAGTCCAATATTCCCTGAAAGCTATTTTAAAATTAGAGCAGTATTTCAAAAAGGTTTTAAATAATTTCTAAAAGATTAATGTGTAAATGTATAATAAAGGTCGACTGTAAGAAACGAATAAAGAAATATTAAATCATATACAAATCATAACTTACAAAGCATCTAAATAAAGAAAATTATGTCCACGTAAGTAAATTCGGGCCGACCATTACTTTTGTCTCAAAAGTACCCCAAAATACTCATTTTCAACAAATTCCACATTATCTTATTTGAAATTCTATTTTTATTAACATATTTCGTTAAAAATTGTATCTTCATAACTGTAGTTGTACAAAGAGGCCGAATGTTTTTTTAAATTTTCGCAAAATGAAGTATTTTAACGAAAATAAGATCATTCTCTTAAGCGTTATTTATGCTATGTATTTCAAATCAAGGTCGCAATTTAATACAAGAATGTGCTGTTTTTAAGAAAAAATGGTTTAAAAATAATAAAAGTTGCCAATGTTTGACACAAAATGTCGCGAAAAATACTCATGCTTTTGAAAAATGGAACATGATATTAAATAAAGATGTTTTTGTAGAACATATTTCATTTAGACAAAAATATTATTTTCATAATTGCTATTGTAGGAAGATGCCAAATAAGTTGTAGAATTTTTCATTTTTCGAAAAATCAGGGATTCTCACCGGCATGAGACCTGCACCATTCTCTTAAACGTGCTTCAGACCATTTAACAACAAAATTTAATCAAAATCGATGGCGCCATTTTTTGAAAATTTGGACAATGTCCCAGGGACTTAATGTAAAGTACTCCCAAAATTAAAATATGTTTCAAATTTAAAAGGCTGAGACATCAGTCAGATTGACAAGGTAATATAATTTTTGCTGAAAATCGACTGAACGGTTTAGCCACTAGCGGGATTCACAGACGAACGGACAGACGTTTGCCGTCAATCGATTTTTCGGTATCAAGAACCCACAAAATATAGATTTTTGCTACACGACATGTTAGAGGATTTTTTCTAAAATAAACAACTGGATTTATCCACATTTGTGTTACCAGGGTTCTGTAAAAAGAGTTTTTATGCCGAAAATTCGCGTTTTTTGCGCAGCATTACATAAGTTTCTGTCTACCGCGATAGCGATAGCGAGAAAGTAAAAAAAAAACAAAAAACAAAGAGGTAACTTAGAGTTAAGATACGTCTTTTTGTACTATGCAAAAGATGTTTCTTAACAAATGGACACAGTCCAAACGTATGCCCCAAAAACTACGAGTCATGCATTCTTGAAAGAAAAAAGGTATTTAATTTTGAGAATTCATTTAGATAACACTTTTTTAGAATATTTTTTTCATACAAACAAAGACATTTTAAGTAACCAATGTATACATAGGTGTGTATTACACTATTTGGACGTTTTTTAAAGCATTAATATTACTTTTGTAATAAAAGAAAGTGCTGGTGATAATAGGGCTATGCTGTACTAATTCTCAGACAGATGACATCAGTGCTGTATGTTATGCATGATCTACAATATTTGAGTTGCAATACCATACAGTATTATTGAATATTAATTTAATATAATGATTATTACAAGTTTACTAAAGATAGTAAAACAGTTTATTAAAATATTTCACACAAAAAATAAATTTCACTGAAGTAGTATACAATAATGACATTTCGACAATTCTTCATATTGTCATCTTCAGGTGCTAAGCTTTTAATTGGGTGACCCTGCGACAATGGCAAAGGTGCCGACGACAGAGCATTATGCCCTGAGGAGTCGCAGAATGGCAACCGAAACGTCGGCACCTTCGCCATGGACGCGGCGCCACCCGGACAGCCTAGTAAATACTGACTCCGGCCGCGGAAACCTACGCTCTCACTTCAGATGCTTAAATGAACCTAATGGAGGAAATTAGAATATATGCGCAGCCAAGCATCTGAAGATAGCAATAAAAATAATTGTTAAAGAAAAGCATTATTGTATAGTACTTCACTTAATTTTTTATAACTGTGTTTGGTATTTTAATAAACTGTTTTACATTTTCTAATAAACTTGGAATGTTTATTGTATTATATTAAACAATTAATAGACAGTTTATAGGAATGTATTTATTCAATACTATATAGTTTTGGATATTTTTTGATTAATTTATTCAAGAAATTTCCCCCTTACCTTTGTGTTGGTAATATTAATGAATTTTAGTTCTGACTCTTCTCCATTCAACATTATTGACACCGACTGTTCCTTCGGAACATCTGAAAAAAGAAAGAAATACAATAATTTTATTTATTTTCAGAAATTGTTTAATTTAACAAAAAAAATGAATATTTGTATCATCACTTCTCAAATTTTTAACAAATGTTAGTAGATATTACTTTCTGACACATTTCTCCTTTGCACAGGGGGTTTGGGTTCAAATCTCAGCCAGGGTATATTTTCTTTCAACTTTTTCTAAGCGTAGAAAATAATCCATTGCATTCGATTGCAGAAAGCTATTTTAATTTAAACTTTTGAATTATAAAAAAAGATATGAATTTTTTAAAAAGTTTTTGCTCTTCATTTAATAAGTAATTTTGCAACTGATGGTTGAATTTTAGCAGGATAAAAGTTGCAATATAATAATGTTACATAACCTTTACCAATAATATGAGAAAATATGTGCTATTGAGTACCACCATGCTGCGATTTATTTACAGCTGCCTCTGACAGGTCCTGAGCTGTTACCGTGTCATCCAATCGGGAGCTTACAAGTTGCTATAGTGACGTTCAATCTTCCGATTGGAAGACACCGTAACAGGCAATTTACATCAGAGGCAGCTCTAAATAAATCCAAGTATAATTCCTTTTGTCTTCCATCACTTCCTTCGAAAATATCTGCAAGTGGGCACTGTCGCGTTTTGTTAGGCGCGATACCTGACAGGCAATGATCTTTTGGGGGTTCGACGGCCAAGACGTTAAAAGCAACTGCGAAAAAAAATGAAAATGAATGAATGTTAGGAAATATAGAATTTTTTAAATATTACTTTCATTGACGCCGGCAGGTTTTCGTCGACCAGGGGAATCCCATCCATGTTTGAGTTTGACTTCCCGCTCTTTTCGAAATTATTTTAACTATTGTTTTTTACGCTCGTACATATATTATTTGAGTTATTGTGAATTTTCGTGCGTTCGTTCGTCCGCGAGTCCACTGACAGTTTGACCACTTGCCGTCCGCCAATCGAATTAGATATTTGAGGTGTTGTTCGACGCGTTTCGGTCTCCTGGTGGGGAACTAACAATTTGCTTTCGGATCCGTCCCAAATATGCTAAGAAATTTCCAAAAACGAGTTTTTGCGAGTTTCCTCGCTACGATGTTTGTGTTCGGGAATGAAACGAACGCCGCCTAAATAAATCTAAGTAGGTGGCATTGATTAAACTTCAATTCCTAGAGGTAACGTGTCGCCATAATTTTTCACGAGGATGACAACATTGATTAATGGTTGACGACAAATAAATTGCACGACAGATTTCATTTAATATTTATCCGCATGCAATATTTTTTAAAATAAATTCGCAAAACCTTCGAGAAGTAATGCCTTGAAACTTCAAGTGAAAGCGGAAAAAACTTAAGTGTGAGTAATGCTAGAGAATGAATACACCTTTACGAATTCTTACGTTCGACTTCACACATTTACGTTTTCCAGCGTGCAAATACAGATGTTCAAATGAAAGTGACTAACAACGTATTCTTATTAAACTTAACTAATTTCTTATTCACATAAACATTCAAAACAGCCGCCTATTAATGTTTATATAGATTGGCCTTGGGAATAATTGTAGAAGCAGAACTGAACACATTTATTATACTGAGTGTATAGAGTTTTAATTTCTTCAAAAAATAGGGGGCAACAATGTGGAAGCGTCAAGCAAATCTGGGAAAGAATATTTGGTAGAAGATTTTGCGACAGAATTTTTGGAAGCTCGGAGGTGGTCTTTTGCGTGCATTTTTGTGCATTCGCATTAGCAAAAGACGTACAAAATGGAGCCGTATTAAATTCTATTCGCACCTTTCGTAATTGCAAGTACTTTTTTACGGTGATTGCAATTTTAGAAAATGAAATGTTATCAGTTCATATACCATATGGAGGTAACATACAAAGCCATTGGGTGTTGGGAATATTTAATAGGGACTTTAATATTATCAGCTACTACGATTCATGGGTTAGTACAATGTCAGAGACTGTAAGAACTTATTTGAACAAAGGTATGCATGACGTTTAGACATTTTTAACTCATGAAAATAGTTTTAAAACAGTTTTCAGAGTCTGCAACGCCACATTGAACTAGTTTGTCATATTTTATAAGACCTTTCTCCCTTATATAACCAGAATTAATGCATTTTACCTGCTTAATTTAGTCAAAATAAACCCGAACTTCCGAACTCTAGTTATAAATGAAATGCGGGCAAAACCAGGCAAACTGTAATTTTATTAGAAGGTACACCGATCCTGTGGACGAATGTTTGCTTAGTATGTTCAGGACTAAATAGTACGACGTCAGTTATATATTTAGAGACTTTATTCAGCTCACAGTAGATCTCGGCAGCCATTAAAATAGTCATTGATTGCCCTTAAAAATGAGGTACCGTTTCAAAGGTTTTGCTTTTATGTTGTATCTCCTATGGTATATTACACTTTTAAAAGTCTAAAAATGTTATATTCACGTTAATGAATATAACATAATTCAATATAGATGGACACGTACTTAATCAGCGCCTTGTCGCGTGGATCAATTTCAGCTCATTGCTTTATGATACATCAGGAACCAGAAGAAAATCTCCCCTCTTAGGATACTCTCTAGTCAATGTGCAATTCGTATGGAAAAGTCCTCACCTCTTGGTATTGGCGCTGCCAAAGCGGTCAACCCCCTTGGCCCCAAGAGCTGGTGGGGAAGGAGGTGTTCTGCTGCCGATACCTGTTCCTCTCTCCTCCCTTCTCCTTATTCTACTCCGTACCGCCCGGTACCAGCCTTCCCTTCGATGAAGACCTGGGTCTCCCAGTACCATCTCGTCCTGCAACGTCCCGCCCTGCCCCTTCCCGTCGCGTCCCGTCGCGTCCCGTCGCGTCCCGTCGCGTCCCGTCGCGTCCCGTCGCGTCCCGTCGCGTCCCCGTCGCGCCCGTCTCCCGTCGCGTCCGCGTCCGCGTCCCGTCGCGTCCCGTCGCGTCCGTCCGTCGCGTCCCGTCGCGTCCCGTCGCGTCCCGTCGCGTGCCCGTCGCGTCCCGTCGCGTCCCGTCGCGTCCCGTCGCGTCCCGTCGCGTCCCGTCGCGTCCCGTCGCGTCCGTCGCGTCCCGTCGCGTCCCGTCGCGTCCCGTCGCGTCCGCGTCGCGTCGCCGTTCGCCGTCCCGTCGCGTCCCGTCGGGTCCGCGCCGTCGCTCGCGTCGCGATTCCCGTTCGCGTCGCGTCTCGTCTCGTCGCGTCGCGTCGCGTCGCGTCCCATCGCGTCGCGTCCGGCTCCTCACCGTTCGCTCCGTCCTTTCATTCTCTGTCCCACCATACTCGTCTGTCGTCCCTTTCGCACCCCTCCGCGTCCCATCAATCCCTAGCCCAACACTCGCCGTGTCCTCTCGCACAGTCCCTTCACACCCTGGCCCGGGAACCCCTTCCAACGACATCGTCTCACCCTGCCCCGCCCCTCTCTCACCCCATCCCCCTCCAACCTGCCCGCCAGCCCAGCTACACCCCGCCCCGCCCCGCCCCGCAGCGCCGTCTTTGATTGATATCTCTCCGCTGAGTAAATTTAGCCCCCGGCCGCGGCTGGCGAAGGGCAGCGGCGGCGACGGGCACCGGGGCAGGAGGCGCGGGGCGCGACCGCCTTGCGGGCGAAGGAATCGAGAGCAACGACATCCACGCCCCGAGTCCCCTCACCCGATTTACCGGGCAAAGGGGGCATTGATCAGACAAATTTATTTCGGAAGTAGCTACTGAATTCATGCGATAATTTTAATTTGTTTATTTCATTTATATACGTTAATTTTTAAACATTTATAATACGTTTTGTGGTTCAGGTCTTTTTTGCATGTTAAACTAGTGGCAATTCAGAAAGGGTACACCATTCCTAGTTATGGCGCACGTAGTTTTCCAAACTATACCCGTCACTAGAGATAGTGCACATCCCTTGCATTTTTATAGTATTTGAAGTGCAGGAGTTTGCCTCTAATACACAACTATTTATTTTAAATTTAATTCTTTTTCTATGGGGAGTATAAGGGAGGGTTATAAAACGCCAGGAATGAACGACGGTGGCAGGTTTGCGACACTAGCTTCTCAGTTGGATCGAATTCAGTCGCTGCCGAGAAGAATTCTTGTGGCCGGCTGCTCTGATCGGTAGTTTTTCGTAGTTTTCCGATCAACCCCAGGTGAATGCCGGAGCAGTACCCTCATAAACGTGCCACGAACCTTGTTTTATCCTCACCGATTACTTACACACATACACACTCACATGCACTTCAGTACCGACATGCCGGGAGACCAGTCGAGAGCTTAGAGCTCGGATAGTTTGGTTGGTGCTCCGCTGGTGAGAGATACCTGGTTAGGGAAAACCCGCTAGCCGCCGGTAGGTCGGTGCCGGATCTCGCCATTCAGCGGGGGGAAATCACCGCCCCCTACCGAGGCAAACATGCACGACACTTATGAGACTAATGACCTCAGCGGTTGACGCGACCGGAATCACTAACAATCAATCAATCAATCATCAGATATGGATGAAGCCGATAGGCGTTCTCCCGGCTAGATCCCGCAAGCAAGAACAGTAAGATCCTCACGAGCGCGGCAAGTCGGATCCGTCGGGTAGCACCCCCTGGTAACCATTTCGAGAGCTGTTGCGATGTTTAAAGCACCCGCCGTGTTTGCGTCAGCGAGGGACTGGTGGTTCGAGCCAGCGCGGACAGGCGGCGCTGGTGTTGGGCGGCCAAAAGCGCATCGGATGCGGTCGAGCGAGCGCGAACGAAAACCCGTTTTGCACGGTCATTTTTTATCAATTTTCTGCTCAGAAAATGGATGGAAATGGGACGATCGTTTCTACGCGGTGCTGCTTCAGTATCGAAACTGGATGAACGAATTGGGGCGTTTTATACGGTCATTTCGTTTTCTGCATGTAATCGTAATTAAAATATTTCCTCTGGATGCCGCTGAGAGCGCTGAAGATCAAACAGTTGAACAGAGTATCTAGGTAAATTAAGTTGGGTTATATTATGACTGAGCATGGAAAGAGACGTATAGAGTACATGTTTTATTTCTCACTATATAATCACTTAACGTTGCGATGAAACACGAATACGAATAGATTTTGGTAGATTTTCTGGGCAACTAGACTTTGGCGAGACCTGGAACGATAGTAGATTTATTTGGTGGATTGAATAAATCCTGAAGTTTTGAAACTGGCAATGTGTGTAGTTTTTACCACAAAAATGTCCAAATTCCTTAATTATACAATTGTTTCGTTAATAAAAACAGCGCTAATATGAACCTTAAACATAATTTAAGGTTCCCTAGCGCGGACACAGAAGCATCTAGCGTCTTTCTCGGTCGTGTCGCTAGATGTCGCATGATCGCCAGCTCGGCCCGATACGGTCGCGATCAAGAGAGACACAAAATGCCGAGTGCTATGCCATTGTGAAGACATGCCCTCACGCACCAAGAAATAAAAAAAGTATAGTGGATGCTATCTTTCCTGGTGAGCGTGAAGTAATTTTGTTGTTGATTATTTTTGTACTTGTATACATTCACTAGAGAGTGTAGATTTTCAACTATCCACTTACATTAAAAGCTTGATGGATACGAAAATAATTTGATGTGTGGGAGGTTGCATATCCAATCTCAAATAATTCTGTATGACAAAGAAGTGTGAAGCAGAAATTAATAATCCATAAATCCTTAATTCTGAATAAAGAAGAAAAAGGAAGACAAAATTCCTCATATATTTCGAA